TTTAAAACTGGACTTTATGTGCTACAAATGTATCCTTTTTTAGAAGTCATAGCTTTGATAAATCAAGTGAAACACTGGGTGATGCCCTCTATGGCCTTCAGAGTAGTAGTAATGGGACCAACAATAACAGTAGTAAGTTTCCACTACTTGCCAGACACTCCAAATAAAGACCCACTGATAAATAAGGAATCCAAAGCAAGGTGAGGTTGAGCAACATGCTCAGAGTTTTGTAGTTATCATGTGTCGGCAATAGAATTCAAATCCAAAGGTGTTGGTATCCAGAGGCATTGATCTTAGGCACTTTTATAAAGTAGTATGGTGCTATTTTGAGGTCAGCATCCCTCTTAGGTTCTGGGAGATAGCATATTTTTCTGTATTAATTTTTACCCACTGAATAGCCTATATTTTATTTTTGTAAATTTGGGAATAGCAACGTTCACAGAAACATGTCATCATCTATCTCTCTATAGCCTGAGGATAAATATACAAGAGTGAAGTTGGAAACTGACCCTCAGTCCCCAAGTCTATGATCTGAAATCATGTTTTTCATGGCTTTAAACACAAAGCTTCTTTGAGATTTCAGAGTATAAAACAAGAGCATGATAGAGAAGAAGTCTATCTAGACAACCTCCTCAAAACAGCCTTTCAAAATGCAGTTAAGCACGGTACTCAGTCTAGATTTTCCAGACTGAATCTATAATTTTGATACCAAGCCTTGTCATTCCTAATAGTTGTCACTGCTGAGCAGTGTGGACCTTGGCTGTCATAAATAAACTAGGCCTGTCTACATGTTCATTTTTCCAATGACCCCGTGAAATTGGTCCAAAAAACAAATGCTGCTCCTTTTATTCAGTTAACAATTTGAAAGCCTGTTATGGAATGTAAAACCATGTTTGTTATCCCGAATTGTTAGCGCCAATGACTAAAATGAGAACAAAAGAGAAAATTAATTCAGTTATTAGTTCTAGCTAATCTGAATGTATGGTCTTGGTAGGTAAGATATAAAGGCAAACCCAGCTCAGGCTTCCAGGCGCACAAGGAAGTATGCCTACAAAGGGCGCAAGACCTGCCAGTATTTTCTTGGCATGCTTTCAAAGTCACTATCCCCAAGATGAGGTTCTCTTTGAAGCTGATGTTCTCCTCTGCTCTTACTGACAATCCTAATGCCTGTCGATTGTCCATCACATTGTGCTTCCTTAAGGGTTTTAATTTAGTTCAGCTGCATAATATCCTTGTGAGAGATAAGTAGAATAAGTGGGCCCTCACCTCCAGTTTCCCTGATGAGTAAAGTAAGTCACATCTGGGATAAATGAATCAGCCAAAATCACACAGTTCAAGGCAGAATTACAGCTGGCATAAGTTCAGGAGTTGCAGTAACTGGTGTAATAACTCTTTCAACTTACCAAGAAGTCAGTCCCGAATATGCTGACGTTAAGAGTGAAAGACCAGTGTGATAATTACATAATAATTGCTCTACTGATTTTAAAGATAAGGTAAGTTCTATGGTTGATTTCGAAGTAGCACACTAAAAAAATAAAATTAAGGAATAAAATTAAAATTCACTCAAGAAATATTTAATTGAATGCTTACTATGTGGCAGGTGCCATTCTAGATGCTGAGGTAGATACACCAGCAAACCAAGCAATGAAACAGGCAAACATCCCTGACCTTAATGAACATACGTTCTAGCAAAAGGGACGAAACTTAGCAATTGACATAATGGTAATAAACAAATAAATTACATATGACATGTACATACATGTTTTAAATTATATAAATTGTATATTAAAAATAATAAATGCTAAAGAAAAAAATGAAGCTCATAAGGAGATTAGAATTGCTAAGGGATGGACAGATTTGTAGTATTTATTTGGTTAGACAGAGTAGGCCTCATTGAGAAGGTGGGATCAAGGGATATCCAGGGAAGAGGGAACAGCCCGAAAAAATGCCCCAAAGAGCAGCCGGTGTGTTCAAAGGAGAGAAAGAAAGCCAGTGTGACTGCAGCAGGCTCAGCAGGGAGGTGAAGTCAAAGGAAGAATAGGGAGGCAGATGATGTAGGGCCTAGGGCCTTGGCAGCCACCACAAGACATGTGGTTTTCATTCTGAATAAAGCAGAAAACATTGCTGGATTTTGAGCAGTTGACTGGACTGATCTGACTTACATTTTAAAGAGGATCTGTTATTAATCATAAAATATCTTTAAATTGTATTATTCAATATATTGTATAATCTTTGTCACATATATGAATCCCAAAGTATCCTACTCTTCTCAGAAGAAAATACTATTATTCCCACCTTCCCAAAGGTAAAAAAAAAATCAAGACTCAGAATGTCTAAGCAACTTCTCTAGGGTGAGATCTAGAAAGGTGAAAAGAACAATTTTTCTTACTCACAGTCTAAAACTGATTGCTCTGTCCTATGTACTCTTTTATATTAAAATTATAAAAGGAAAGAAAACAATAATTGAGATTAATTATCCAGACTCTCCATCAATAGAGATGTTTAGTTTGATATAGTAAAATTGAATCAAACCCACTTTTTTTCTTTATTATTAATTTCTGGGACATAATGATCCAACTAATTTCCTTGAACCTTCTATTTGAAATGACATACAAATATTCAGGCTAAAAATTTTGGTGCAGAAGTAATCATAATAAGCATTTAAATTTACAACAGTACATTTAGAAAGTTTTTTGAAGTCTTTAACTTATTAATTATTAATGTTCTGCTGCTTGCCAGTCACTGTACTAAATTCTTTTCATACATCATTGTTATTTAATGTTCATCAAAATCTCTAAGAATAGTATTACTAATCTCATTTTATAGATGACAAATGTAAGGCTAAAAGGTTAAGCACTGAAAGGTTTCCAGGATGGCTCAGTACCAGAGCTGGGATTTGACTTACATCTCCACAGTCTAAAGTTAGGTTCTCTTTACTAAGGCACACCACCTTCCTGCAGCATGACACTCAACATATCACCTCAACCTTCCAAACGAAAAGGTCAGCTAGATACGAGTAACCCCACTTTACAAATTATTAAATGTTAAGCAATCAACATTTATTTAATAGCCACAATATGCAAATCAATATTTAGTTACTGAGAGCAGAGAAGATTTATGACACAATATTTTGCCTCAATGACCTTACAATCTTGTTAAGTTAACAAGGGACACATAAAAAGGCAATAAATAATCCAAGATAGCACATAATAAGTACCAAATGAGATATAGAGCCAACAACCACCAAAGAAATTCAACAGAGAGAAAACTGAATCTGAGTGCTTCAATTCAGTTATGAAAGGTCTTCGCTGAAGAAGACCAGCGTTGAGGCGGTCTTTATAAGAAAGGTAGGGTTTAGATCACCAGAGAGGATGAGGGAAAATAAATCCTTTGAGGAGGAATCATATGGCCAAAGGTCAAGGGAGCAGACGTTAATGGATTATCAAGAGAAAACGAGGAGATGTGTTTGAAGTGCAGGAGGGATGGGAGGCCAAGTAAAAAGGAAGCCAGGGAAGTAGACTGCAGAAAGCCTTGATTGGCAAATTAGGAATCTAAGGCTGGTGGGTGGGAATAGATCTTCGCTGAAATGCTAATATGTGGCACCTGCTTTGTGTACCTTTCATTTATGTAGTCCTCTCAACAAACCTATAAGGGAGAAAAATAGATATATCGTGGCCATCTTAAGTGAAAGGAAACAGATTATCTGACCAAGGCACAGATTTGTGTGTGTCTGGAGCATAAATTTCAATCTAGATGCATCTGCTTCCAAGGCCTATATTCCCTCCACTACCCCCCCTCACTGCCATCTACCAAAAGGTGATGTGAACTACGGAAGGTATCTGATGAAGAGAATAGAGTGAAATGCGAAAAACCTTGTAAGAATAAAAGAAATTAGCCTGTGTCCACTATCGGAAAGGAGTGGGAAGTAACTAGGCAGGAAGAGCCACTGAGTCTACTGCATTAACCCAAATAATATGGTGATGAGGATCTCTGTAAAAGTATTTACATTCAGGCATTTAGTCAATACACATCTTTATAAGCAACTTAATATTGCAAAGTTGTCAAGCTGGTAATAACCAGCCTATCTATACCAATTTGTGATTAGTATCAACTGTTCAATTAATTTGTCTTAATTTTGAATTAACTGTTAAACTGTATATGTATATGTATATATGTATATACACATATATATCATGTTAGCATTGATGAGTAACAGTCTTTTAACTCTGAATCCTTTCAGTAATTACCTACCCTATTTTCACCTAATCTCCTTAGGATCACCTAGCCATGCTGAAGGATAATTAAAATTTAGCATATTAGCCAAGCCTAATTTCTTTTACCTTTATGGATATAAACAGATTTTTTTTCTGAGTTGAAAATTAATCTTCAAATGTGAAATCAAGCTGTACCACAGTTCAATAAACTTAGGCTTCCAGCTAACATATATCTAAAATGTCTTTGAAAGTTCCAAGAATGCCAAACTTGTGTTATATTTTAGAAATGATATTTGTGTAAAGAAATATCATCATAGACTCCTGAAAAGTATTTTTGTTGAAATACAACCCAGATATTATTTTGCATTTTTTTAACATTCCTTAATTTCTGCATATCTATACTGGTGTGAAAATGGGTATCAGTAAAATGTGGTAAAAGAAACCAATGATACTACACACAAGCATATCTGTTCTGCTCGGTGATGTTCTACTTTAATATATTCTAAGTTTGAAAAACTAAGCCATTATAAATAAATGAATTTAAAAACTATCCAGGCAGTAAGTCTGGGCTCTGTGTGGCTTTAGGCATTCTACGAAAGATATGCTAAATACATTATATGTGTATAAAAGGAATTACAGTTAATAGAAATTAAGGTTTATAAAATAAACATTATTTTTTTAATACATGGCAACGCATTCATATGTAAAATATATTAAAACAGGTATTACTCTTAACTTTTCAAGGCATTATTTTGTGAGCATTTAAAAAAGTAAAACGATTTTTACCTCCCAGTCCTGGTCTAAGCCGATTATCATAACCATCCAGAAGTCTGTCTAGAATTCTTGTAAAGATGGTAATGTTATTTTTAGCCTCATCTTCTTGGATGTTAGCCAGCACCAACCTAAACAGATAATTTTACAAGCTGATATATATATACATATGTGTATTTTGCAACTGCCAACATGTTCTTCTTCCTTTATTTGAATTTTAAGGCTCCATCAGCTATTAGTGCCACCCATTTTCCTCCTTTTTTCACCTCTATAAATCCCAGTATGTCAATGGGAAGGTAAACATCCTATTGAAATGGATAGTAAATACTAGATGATCAGAAAGTTTGATGTTTATTTCAGATTTCTACCACTTAACATTCTGTGTGGAATATTCATCTTCTTCTAAAATCCATTCCCTAAAATATATTATGATCACAGATAATCACATGCAGACCTTAGTAATGCTATCCTGCATTTAGAAAGGTACAGTGACCAAAGGGACACCTGAAATAGTTCATCAATGATTTGAATATTAATTGGAAAATAAACTGCTTTCTTGGAGACACAAAATTTCTCTATCTTCCTCATAAATATCTTTCTTTCTCTCTTTATGTCTTTTTCTCTTTTAAACCAAGATGATTTCCTTACTTCGGGTATACCTCCACCCAATGGCCAAGTGTAATATAGACATCAGGGAAACTCCGCTGGCTGTGTTCCAGGCTCCACTGTGGCCAGAAGTAGAGATGGGCTCTGGCAGTACCAGCAGCACACACAGCTGCAGAGGGCCTCGGAGGAGCTACCCTCTCGACTGGTCTCTGAGGAGAGTGATAGGGGTCACCTAAAGGTGCACATGCCAGCTATGTGTGTGTGAGTGTGCGTCTTTATGTCGGGGGGTGGGGGGGCAGGGGAGAGAGAGAGAGAGAGAAGAACAAATTTGTGGAAAGAACAAATGGTCTTAAAATATCACCAGAAGAGGGTTAGAAACAGTGATTTTCTCCATTATTTCACCATCAGAAAGCCAGAGACCTGATTTTGTGACATCCAGCAATTTGGTGCAGAAGCAACTAGATGTAAAAAACAGACTGTCCCTTTCCACTGCCATTTTTTTCCCCCAGAATGATTCAGAGATTTAAATTACTGGTCCTAAAAAAGAATCATTTATATAATAGAATAAAACACTGGCATGAACATTACCGGTCAAATATAGAACAGAAAACCAGTAGAGGGAAATATGGCTAAGTATTGAAGATTGTCAATGATTATTAATAAACCATGGTGTGTTCTTTCCTTTAAAATCAAAGATTGCACATAATTGCATTCTGATCAAGGTGTATTGTGTAAAATACCACTGACATTTTGCATTTACATGATTATACAACTAGCAGCTAAAAATAGTCATAATATATCAAAAAATTGGTGACCAACTTTAAACAAATTCTGCCTTGAGAGCAGAAAAAATGTTAGAACACTGATAAGGTCATTTAAAAATTATGTAAGCAAGTGTATTCATACCCTGCAGCATCAAAAGTTTCTATATTACCTTACATGAATTTCAAAACTAATAATCATTATAGTCATAAAGTTCCACATAGAGATCTTCACTGGAAAGTGTTTTTTAATCACAAATTACATTTTCTTCCCAAATTCAAAATTATTATTTTAAATGAGGAGCTACTTTCCAATGAAAAAGTCTTTCTAAAGAGATTCCTTCTCAATCTAGAAGGCATTTTCATACTTTGATAACTACTTGGTTTGGAAAATGAAAATTGGAAGGAAAATAAAGGTATAATAAGGACATTGTTTTTTAAAAAAGGACTAGCTACATGAACATTCTTATGAATCTTACATTTTAAATCCTCTGGTATCTTGAAAACCATATCTTAAATTTAGGTAAAAAATAAAAGATGCTGACTGATGATAAATATCAGAAAAAACTACAGCTTTTCTGATGATGTATTGAAAGCAATAAAAAATTTATTTCAGGGTTGTAGAACATAGGCAAAACAAAATCAGTTACATGTTTAAAGCAAGTACTCTTTAAAACAGTAACCATTTTAGAAATAAAAGATCCCTAAATCAGTAATATGAAAAGTTGATTAATGAATATCAAGCTTTTGTTTTATTGTTTGTGATTGTGAAGTTGTATACTACCTCCACCTAGAGGTTTAAGACTCACACATCATTTAGTATTTGGGTTTTCTACGTTGACTGAAAGTGCCAAGACGATTTAAAAAAAAAGAAGAAAGAAAATATTAAGTTGACACTCAAATCGTTTTAGCTTGTGCTTTTCTGTTTAGCTTAAAAGAAAACTTGGCTCTTTTACTGAGTTTTAGCGTCATAAGTGCATATAATTTAACCACTTCAATTCCTTGTAAGAATATGCCATTCAAAGAATATTCTTTTCAGCGATTTTTTAAAAGAAACTGTTTCTGTTCACTTTTATATTTTAAGGCTAAAAACAAGAGGCAGTGAACTTTTTATAGTCTGCTACTTCATTGTTCAGTTTCCTGGTACAACCTTTTCTTATGAGAAATGATTCTTCAAAATACTTCAGCATCTAAAAGCTATACCTGCATTGATGACATTCAAGAAACAGACCTTTATCCTGAATTTAAAAAGCCAAATAAAATAAATAAATGTCTCACCTGGCTGGGTCCTGTAACAGGAAAACAAGAAGCAGCAATTGTACGTTGTAGATGTGCAATTTTGTCTTCATTGCCGCTCTTTGTAGAGCTGCGGAAGAAAACCAAAAGGCACTTAAAATTACGTTCAGTCTCACCAACCAAACTGCCCAAAAGAATGTCATTTCACTTGAGAACTGGAGTTCAAGCTATGGAGATTATTCCAGTGGAGTCTGTAAGAAGTGATGATTTGGGGGCGTGTGTGTGTGTGGGGGGGGGTGTCTCTTCTGTTCTTTCCTTTCTTTTTTTTCTCTTTACAGCAAGATGACCACACAGACTTTACTCTGCCAGGAACTTCCCCCGGCTCCGTCGCCAGCACACCCTGTTCTGAGCTCACACACACACATGCAATGATAACACACGGGACCCTGAACTGCTGTAAGAGCCAGAGAAGAGCCTAGGCTGACGGGAGAGGGGAAAAGGGCAGGAGAGGTGGGTGCATCATGCCGCGGTCCCCTCCACCACGACCACTCCCGCAGCCACAGTGGGAAAAGCAAGGGGCAGCCAGCCCATTTTCCTGATTCTTCTTTTTATTACGGCGAACTGCAGTCCTCTCTCTTTCACTTCTTTGCTTCCTCTAAAATAAAATCGAATAAAATAGCCTCCCTCCCTGCCCACCCACAGCTGCCCAAGACCACGTCTCGGAGGCAGCGGGGCTCGGCTCCGCGGCTGCGAAGCGGCGCGGCGGGCCGCTGCTCGAGAGCCCAGGAGCACCGGCGAGCGGCGGGCAGGGAGGCGCGGCAGCCGCCGAGCGAAGTTGGAGACGAGCAGAGAGCCAGGCTGGCGTGCGGCCGCGCGGGCGTCTCGGGTCGCACCGTAGTTACAAAGACGCTTCTGGGAATGAGTATCGGAATTATTTTTCAAATGTGCGGGGGAGGAGGAGCGACCTGAACCTCTCGGTGTCCGGCGAGCGTCGGGAACAGGGTGCGGGGAGATGACCGTGCCTGGGAGGAAAAGGGGCAGAGGGGAAGGGGGCCCTGTTGGCACCGCCTGTGCGACCTTACCTGAAACAGCAAGCAGGGCTGGGGGTGCTCCTCCCTCGGCCCAGATCTTGAGAAGATAGGAAACTTGAGAGACAGACAGACAGACAGAGAGGCCGGCTGCAGCCGCCCAGCGGCCCGGGAGCGGCGCACCGGAGGGAGCCGGAGGGGAGCGCGAGCGGCGGCGGCGGCGGCGGCGCGAGGAGTAGCAGGAGGCGAAGGCGTCCGTAGTGGCGCGGCGGGCGGAGCGGGGAGGAGGCGCGGGGGGAGCGCGGGCAGGGCGCGCGGGAGGCGGACGCGGACGGAGGCGCGGGGCGCGCGGGCAGCGGCGGGCGCGAGCCCCGCGCCTGGAGGAGGAGGAGGAGGAGCCAGGCCCGGGAGGAGCGCTGCCGAGGTTCACGGGAACGCGGGACCCCCGCCCCGTCCCGACCCCGGTGGGCGCCCGCCGGGCACCTGCAGCGGCCCAGCTCACGCCGGGCACCGGGCGGCGTGAGAGCCCGTGTGCGCCCCGAGCGCCGCTCCCCGCGCCCGCGCCGCGCCCAGGAGCGGAGCCCACGCGCCACCTGGGGCTGCTTCCCGCGGCCGTCCACCGGGACCGCCGGAGGCCCCGAGGCTCCTGGCGGGGGTGCGGCCGGTGGGTGCTGGCGCGGAGCCGGGAGGCAGCACGTCTGTGCGGTCCTAGATCCCCGGCGCCTCGCTCTGCCTTCAGCCCCCCGAACCCCCCGACACCGGAGCGAGGTGGCTGCCGAGGAGAGGTAAAGAGGGACCGCTCCCGCTGGAGGGCGAGGGCACTAAGCACGCCTTTACTTAGTCATCAGCGTATCCACGCAGCACAAGTTCAACGCATATTGCGTGGAACCCGACATCAGGAAGTTTATTTGATTTCCTGAGCCCTCTATTAAGAGCATTCTTTTCTTCACACTCCTGCATCAGGACCAATTTCCCTCAAAGCCCCGAGGGCTGGAGACTTCTCTTGAGCCCCTCGGTGAAGTTATTTTGCAGACTCTACACCGTGAGAAACCTCCCGTTCACTCTCAGCATTTCTTCTTCCTAACCTGTTTTCACAGGCGTCCACCCTACTAGTGACCAAACCCAATCAACAGCTTTAAAAAAGTTTACATTTCCCCCGAAGACAAAGAGACCTGCTGAGCATCTACAAACTGTGCAATTCTTTCCCCAAAAGGTACGGGAATGTAGCAAGATTTGAGGTTCTCCCCTCAGGGCTTTTGCTAGCAAAGACATTTTGATTTTAAGATTGTAATTCCAGTCCAATCGTACACTTTCATCATTGTGTTTGATCTGTCTCATTCCTCGTCTATTTTATTTGAGGTGATAAAATCCAAACGTACAACTTGAACAAAAAAAGAGACATTTCCCTTTTCGTTCTGCATCTAAGACAGAAATGTTACTCACATCCTAGTAAGGTAGAGTGGTTGTTTATCTCTTCAAGTTATCAACGTTAGACACTTTAAAAGGAAGAACAAAAATAAGTATGCTGATATGTTTTTCTCATTATCCATTCAGAGTCAATATGTGCCAAAGACTTCAGTTTCGTTAGTTATGAACCAAAAATTCAGTTGTTTTTCCTAGATGATGCAGTTTTCACAACAGACACTGTTAATTTAAAGTAAATTTTTCTTTGCTTTGCAGATGCTGTGAGGAGAGTAAAACCTTTATATTATAAATATTTCAAGCTGTTCTTTTTAACCTATTAATCACCATTTTCTGAATGAGAATCTAATATACTACAACCTAAACAAACATTTGCTTTTCTATTTAGTTGGCTCTGGGAAGAATGGAACACCACCCAGCTTTCTCCTCCATCATTAATATTCCCTTCCTGACTTGCCCATTGCAGAGTCTAATTGAAATTCACAAGGATAAAAAAGCATGCCATTTAAAACCTTGCAACTAGGGAATCTAAACATCTACTTGGTGTAAACACTTCACTTCCTACTGTATTTTTGTATTTTCCATTTCTATGAGTCAATCTTCATTAAGTGCTCTATCACTATTTATATTACTACTAAATTGTTTATATTTTGATAATGAAAGTTAAACAGCCCATGATTTTTTCCCACCCTTCATTGCTGTGCTCCACAACACTTCTCTTCCATGAATGTCACAATTTTTATGATTCTTATACTCACTACTATTGTTTTTTCCCTGGATTTTAATGCCAAATTACAGATTTTAGGTCTAATTTATTTGCTTAAAATATGTACCTATTGGGATGATTGGTTCTAAAAAGTTAGCCTTTCCCCTTAGCACCCTTAATAAATATATAATCTCACTGCCAGATGACCCACTTAATGGAACTTGACAAAGTTCAAACTGTTTTGGATGATTTTCACCATTTGCTTTGTTTTTCTTTTAAACGCCGTGTTAGAATAGTCTATAGATTTGGATATGCATTTGAGAGGGACTCAGTAAAAACTAGACACAAATCAGTATTAAAAAAATTTGTTTAAATCAGTATAAAACTATGATTTTTAGTTCTCCCCCACAAAATACCTTGCAATTTTATTGAAGTTGGATAGCTGTAATTTAAACTTCAAAAAACGTTAAAGGAAATGGAAATCAGAAAAGCTGATTGCCAGTAGTGGACCTCTACTTTTACTGCTATAATCTATACTGGTATTTCACTGTGTTACTAGTCCAGCCAGATCTCTTCCAGGATTGTCCAGTTTCCCCTAACAGCTGACAACCCCAGCCTGGTTTTTTTCTCTGTGATACAATGCAGTGAACTGCCTGTGATTTGGGAGCCAGCCTGTGTAGGTCGTGACTAAACTCTTCCTACCCACTTGTTTTGGAATGTGTCCTAAGGCAACCAATCCTGTAAGAAAACTGACAATTGGTTGCCAGTAAACTTAAATCCATTCCCACCCAAGCTACAGCAGTGCAAAACCTTCTGTTTAAACTTGTTTGAATTAATCTCCCACAAATTGGATTTGGGGGATCACTTATATAGTCCTCATCCTTAACACCCCGTCTCTAAGGAGATTTCCACAGGAGAACTAAGAATAAAATAAAGATAAGGAATTGGAGGATCTTGGTTTTGTCTGACTTTTCTCTCCTGAGGAAAGAAAATGTACAATATTGTACAGTTTCAAAATTCATTATAAAACTGTTCATGTTTTTGAACATGTATTTTGTAGAGCTTCCCTTTTTAGAGCCCAGCTATGTAGAGACATGGCATTACTGTTCCAGGCAACGACTCCTCTTTTACCCTCAGGGACTCATGAATCTTTAAGTTCTGTAAGATAGTATGTGTATACAAGTATGTATAATATATATGTGTATATATAACATATACACATACATGCTTACAAATACACAGATATTTATTGTAGAAAGACATCTAATAAAAATAGGCATAATGAGAACAGCATCTATGTAACACATTTCTACGAAATGCATTTAGTCTCACTGCTACATAATTTGATCATAGTGATATTTGCATACTTTGAAGAGAAGTACCAGAATGACTTCAACAAGAAGTCTCTCACTGTGACTACAAATTTTTAAACATCAGCATGTATTCCATATAATAAATTTACACACACTTTACATACCTTCCTATGTGAGTCACTCATGCAAATGAGAATAAAATTTTGTGAAAAAATCGTAAATAAAATATAAATTATCCTGTTTTCACAGAGTTACATACTATCCTATATTTTTCCCAGAATGCTTTACTGATTTCAGATATGTTTGGAGCCCATGTCTTATCATATTCACATTATTATTTAAAAAAAAAACCTGGAGCATATGCCCATTTGGTAATTCTCAAAGTCAAAACCATGGCTTGGTCAAGCTCCATTGTTCCCTGTAAGTGGAATTTAGATGGATAGTTCTAATATGTCCTCTAGGCTCCAAGATTCTAAAATAGGTAACAGCTGGAAAGTGGGAGTAACTAGCCTTATAAACAAATAATTTCAAAACTACTGTTACAGTATTTAGGTCACACTTCATTAGAGCTAAATATATCAAGTGTATTAGCTTGGATAAACTATGAACATTGCCTTCTTCAAAGAGAGTAGCTCTCTTTATAAAGTCATTTTGCAAATCCTCATCCAACTTGCAGATCAAATATATGACGCATTCAGGATATCTTGGTGTTTTCTGAGATTTCCAAAACTACCTACCTATATTAAGCACATACATAGGGTGATTTATAAGAAAATTCTTTTGCCTTCCTCTTGTGAAATTATTGATAGAATTTATTTTCAGAATGCTCAATTGCTTCCTAAAACAGATATCGCACTGTGATAATAAAAACCAAAAACTCCCTCACTGGAAATTACACTGGACATTTCATTGAAGGATAATCTGCTATATGATTGGCAGCTTTTGCCTGACACATGTTTCATAAATAATAATCATAGTAACAAAAATAATACAAAGTAAACTTATAATGTCTGCATTTGTGAAACAGCATAGATCCCATTCTAAATTATTCGCATGTATTCACTTGTTTAATCTTCACAAGTAGGAGTTATATTATTCCCATTTCACTGATAAGCTTGAGGCACAGAAAGTTCAATCTGGCTGAGTTTCCCCGTGGTAGAGCCAGGGGTAGAGCCCAAGAAACATGGCTCCAGAATCTGCCTCCTTAACTACTATATTGTCACTACATTATTCCATGACTGCCAAAATTCTAGCTTCATATTTGCAGTCTCACCATTGAAGCTTTGAACAAAATATTTAACTGTTGATTAGCTAGTGTTATCAGGGTAGTTGTAAATCTGTTAATAATGGCCATATACTCATTCAACAGATCTTGCTGAGTGTCTGCTATTTGAAAGGCACACCATTAGGTACTATTTTGATATAATGATGATTAAGACATGCTCCCTATATGCAAAGAGCTTACAGCAAGTTGAAAAATGTGAAATAACATGTTGTTAATTACAAACAAATTAACTACCAAGGCCTATACACCCTGAAAACTTTATAATAGTTCCAAAACAATACTGCCTTTACTAAGTAGCAACATGCAGTTTAAGAAAAAGAATGAAACAGATTTTCCTTTAGTTAATGATTTATGCATCTCATATAACAATTTATAAATGGATTATGAAAAAATACCTATTTTAGATGAATATTTTCTGAATAATAATATCTCATCAGGCAAAATTATACAGAAAAAGCCATTAGTAATAACAACAATAAAATCAGAGGATAGAGCGAGTCCCAGACCTAATTTGGGTCCATTTACATACATCTTAAGTGGGGTCCCAACTTGAAGAGTATTCCAATATCAACATTTTTAGAATAGTAAAACTCTTCCTTTTGAAAGGAAGAGAGGGCATACTTATTATGAAGAAATAAATGAAAAAATATAATCAGACTATGAGTATTTCATGGCCACTAAGAGAGACATGAAAGAGAAAATAAAAACCAATTATTTATAAGAAAAAGTGAATAATACAACTGCAAATTAATTATGAATATCAAATAATTTCCCATAATAATATGTAGGTCATTTTTCCTTGCTAGAGACCTCTTTGTATTTGCCAAAGCAACTTGCTCATAGATGTGCAATAAATAATTGCTGATCTCTTTGTAGACTTAAGCACTTTGGAATACAAATTGGAAGCCTTGGCATAAGAGTTAAAAATGGCATGACCTTGGGCAGTCTTAGTTATAATATCTACTGGGAACTGTCAAAGCTCTTTCTGTTACACCACTATATTGTCACTGGTAGACTCTTTCCTGGAAAGGTTATCTCCTCTGGAGTTCTCTATCTTACCACCGTCCCCT